TAGGTGTCCAGCCCGGCAGCCGTGCCAGTAGTACGGCAGGTGCCCAGCCCGGTGTGCCCTGATGAAATGACACAGACAGAAACGTGGGTTTTCAGCCTGTTATTCTTTAATACTGTTCACTTCTAGGAGTGAGTGGAAATCTAGACTAGCGCTCCCTGGGCCTAGCCACAGAACCCTCCTGCGCAATTGTGGGGAGTCTGTGAATGCAGCAAACACCCCTGGACACGCAGCCTTGTTGCTTTTCTAGGTGCGCTTAATCTCAGGCCCCGCCTGTGCTTACTGTGCTGGGGATCAATCTCTTGGGGTTTGATTTAGCAGGTCTAGGAAGGACCCGCTAAATCGAGTGCTGAGGCAGCCCCGGTCGGCGCCGGTGTCCTCGACTCGGGGGGAGTCCCGTTCCCCTCCTCCTGCCGTGGAGACGGTGCCACGCTCGGCTTAAGGTACGTCAACTCCAGCTGGGCTTGCACCCCTTAAACTGGCCCTCCGGGTCTGCACAGACTGGCCTCTGCGGCATTAGCGCCCGGCGCTGCCGGCCGGTCCGGAGAGAGGGTTCTGTGGTGCTGCCCTGAGTGGGGTGCTGCGGAGCTGCAGAAAGCAGAGATGGCGCGTTCTCATCTTCTAAGCTAGTAGTGGATGGGACTCAGCGAGCCACGGAAACCCCTTTGGCCACACGGGGCGCATCACGGGGAGGCTGATCTGCAGCATGACAGCCCTGCAAGTGGCACACTGAGGCACTTGTCAGCCGGGCAGCCGGGACCTTAGAGGAAATGCATCTTGACGGGATTCCAGGAGCAGCCGGGGCTGGAGAACGTGCCCACGGAGAGGTGCGAGGGGGCGCTGGACGGGGAGCTGCGCACCCTGGAACGGGGAGGCCCCCTGCCTCTGGTGCTCAGTGCAGGAGCATGAGCAAGGCCAGCTGTGTCCCAGCTAATCCCGCCTTAGGGCCTGGTCCTCTCCCCTCACACGCTTGGGCTTTGTCGCCTTCCCCCAACCCTGAGCTCTGTCCAGAGCCGGCCGGTGAGCCTGGGCCTAGACGGGGGAAATATCCGACAGGCCTGGCCCCTCCGGACAGGCCATGCCGGCGCCCGGGATACTGGCACAGAGTGGGCCGGCCTCTCTCACATGCACGGGGTTCTCCAACGCAGCGCCCATGTCTGCACAGTGCCGGGGAGGCCTTGTCAGTGCCAGGCTCCTCCCGCGGCCACCGGGGATCACGTGGGCAGCCCCAGGCACACGGCGCTGGCCGGGCCACGGGGACGGACAGGCCATGCCGGCGCCCGGGATACTGGCACAGAGTGGGCCGGCCTCTCTCACATGCACGGGGTTCTCCAACGCAGCGCCCATGTCTGCACAGTGCCGGGGAGGCCTTGTCAGTGCCAGGCTCCTCCCGCGGCCACCGGGGATCACGTGGGGCAGGTGGCAGAGCGAGGAGCGATGGGCTCACGCTGCAGTGGGGCAGGTCTAGGCTGGATATTAGGAAAAACTGTTTCCCTAGGCGGGTGGGGAAGCGCTGGGCTGGGTTCCCTAGGGAGGGGTGGAGTCTCCATCCCTAGAGGTGTGTAAGTGCCGGCCTGACACAGCCCTGGCTGGGCTGGTTGAGTTGGGCTGGTCCTGCTTTGGGCAGGGGGCTGGACTCGGTGCCTCCTGGGGGCTCTGCCCGCCCTGGGGCCCTGTGGGTCTCTGTGAGCTAGCAGAGCGCTCTGCCCTGCCGGGGACGTTCATGCCTCTAAGAAGTGAGCGGGCTGAGGGTGCTGTCAGTCTGGCCGCGGGGCGAGATCCGGGACGGCGGCTTTGGACCAGTCTCTCCTCTGAGGAGACGCTTCAGCTGCTGTGTGTTCCCCTCTCCTGCAGGCGGCCATGTCATCGGGGGCGGCCGCCCGCTGCCGGGGGCTCCGGAGGAGACCGGGTACGACTCTCTCCGACAGGCCTGAGGGAACGGCCAGACTCAGGACCCGCGTGGTGGAGTGACATCGTGCGACTGAGGGGCTGCCCTGCTGCAGGGACACCGGCACAGCACGCCCTACCCCCACGAACGGCCTCGAGCGTGGCAGAGCGGGTGCCGTGTGGGCCCCCACGAATGGCCTCGAGCGTGGCAGAGCGGGTGCCGTGTGGGCCCCCACGAATGGCCTCGAGCGTGGCAGAGCGGGTGCCGTGTGGGCCCCCACGAATGGCCTCGAGCGTGGCAGAGCGGGTGCCGTGTGGGCCCCCACGAATGGCCTCGAGCGTGGCAGAGCGGGTGCCGTGTGGGCCCCCACGAATGGCCTCGAGCGTGGCAGAGCGGGTGCCGTGTGGGCCCCCACGAATGGCCTCGAGCGTGGCAGAGCGGGTGCCGTGTGGGCCCCCACGAATGGCCTCGAGCGTGGCAGAGCGGGTGCCGTGTGGGCCCCCACGAATGGCCTCGAGCGTGGCAGAGCGGGTGCCGTGTGGGCCCCCACGAATGGCCTCGAGCGTGGCAGAGCGGGTGCCGTGTGGGCCCCCACGAATGGCCTCGAGCGTGGCAGAGCGGGTGCCGTGTGGGCCCCCACGAATGGCCTCGAGCGTGGCAGAGCGGGTGCCGTGTGGGCCCCCACGAATGGCCTCGAGCGTGGCAGAGCGGGTGCCGTGTGGGCCCCCACGAATGGCCTCGAGCGTGGCAGAGCGGGTGCCGTGTGGGCCCCCACGAATGGCCTCGAGCGTGGCAGAGCGGGTGCCGTGTGGGCCCCCACGAATGGCCTCGAGCGTGGCAGAGCGGGTGCCGTGTGGGCCCCCACGAATGGCCTCGAGCGTGGCAGAGCGGGTGCCGTGTGGGCCCCCACGAATGGCCTCGAGCGTGGCAGAGCGGGTGCCGTGTGGGCCCCCACGAATGGCCTCGAGCGTGGCAGAGCGGGTGCCGTGTGGGCCCCCACGAATGGCCTCGAGCGTGGCAGAGCGGGTGCCGTGTGGGCCCCCACGAATGGCCTCGAGCGTGGCAGAGCGGGTGCCGTGTGGGCCCCCACGAATGGCCTCGAGCGTGGCAGAGCGGGTGCCGTGTGGGCCCCCACGAATGGCCTCGAGCGTGGCAGAGCGGGTGCCGTGTGGGCCCCCACGAATGGCCTCGAGCGTGGCAGAGCGGGTGCCGTGTGGGCCCCCACGAATGGCCTCGAGCGTGGCAGAGCGGGTGCCGTGTGGGCCCCCACGAATGGCCTCGAGCGTGGCAGAGCGGGTGCCGTGTGGGCCCCCACGAATGGCCTCGAGCGTGGCAGAGCGGGTGCCGTGTGGGCCCCCACGAATGGCCTCGAGCGTGGCAGAGCGGGTGCCGTGTGGGCCCCCACGAATGGCCTCGAGCGTGGCAGAGCGGGTGCCGTGTGGGCCCCCACGAATGGCCTCGAGCGTGGCAGAGCGGGTGCCGTGTGGGCCCCCACGAGCGGGGGAGCCAGAGCCAGGCCCTCCCTCCCTCCCGCTGGGTGCTCAGCGAGAGCTCGGTCCCGTCCGGATCTACGTGCAGCGAGCGCTCCTGTGCCATGGACAGCCGTGGGGAAGGGCACTCCAAGACGTGGCCCACGAGCGGCTGCTCTGTCCTGGGAGGAATACAGGGATGGCACTATTTGCAGGAAGCAATGCAGAGGACAGCTCTGCCGTCGGGCAGCTGACAATTTAAATACGATCTCGCCTGACGTGGACGGGCCTGGAATCCACGGCCACGGAGTTACCAGCCACGTTCCTAGCACCTGCTGGCAGCACCTGGGCGTGCGGGAGGCGAGCCCCTCGCCATTCTGGGGGGTTCCACGAGACAGGTGATGTCAGCAAAGGCTGAGCTCGGTTTCAGTGACGAATCTCGGAGGAGAAGGGGCCTTGTGCTTTGTGGGTCTGAATGGGTTCGGTCCACCAGTGGCTTTGCGTTGGGTGGCGGGCGTCCAGGGAATTCTGCCCCTCGCCTCAAACGACGTCCCTGTCACCGCCACGCACGCGCCACAGGCACAACACCTGGGCTCTCGACTCAGAGAAGGGAGACGAGCTGAGCCCGAGATGCTGAGCCAGCGGCTGGTGCTAGGAGCCTAGAGCGGGATCCCGTTCACACCTTCCCCCAGGCAGCCCCTGGCTCTGCAGGATCCCAGCGCAACGGTGGAGGCTGATCTCAGGCGGGGAATGGGACATGACTGGGGGGAGAACTCTTTGGATCAGGTGCTGGAGCAGGCCACAGATCCTGGCCAAAGCTGGGTGCACCAGGCTAGGCCGCCTGTTCTCTCGGCAACGACTGACTGGCAAAGGCTGTTTGAGGTCCAGGTGTGCGTGAGTGTGGGTGTGTTGGCAGCCCAAGCGGGGGGAAGCACACGCAAGTGCCTGTCCCCGGACACACGGCTAACAGTGCTTGGCGGCGTGGGGCCGAGGCAGGGCCGGCTGCTCAGAGCACAAAGCGCAGCCTGTAGGTCACCTGGTGGCCGTTGTCCCAGGCATACAGGACCTTCTCCTTGGGGTTGTAGTCGATCTGCGTGGTGAAGGAGAACTGGTTGAGGAAGGGCAGCTTGAGGCTGGCTTCGGTGTCCGTGTGGGTGTCGTAGGCGTAGGAGATCTGCCCGTCCTTCTGGTTATACACGTCCACGGCGTAGAGGATGCCGCAGATGATGAAGCAGTTCCCGTAGGAGTTGCGCTTCAGGCCTGTCTTCCACGTGGTCTCCCTCTTCATGGAGAGGTCCCCGGGGTCCAGCTTGCTCAGGACGATCACCTCCAGCTGGGAGTCGTCATAGTCCACCGCGGGGTAAATGACCCACAGGCCGCTCTCGTCCACGGCGAAGTCGATGTCCGAGTGCCCCCGCCACTTCCAGGGCGTGGTGTCCTCGTAGACCACGTCGTGCAGCAGGGCCCAGGCGGCCACGAAGCGCTGCCGCAGGTCGTACTTGATGATGTTCTTGGTGAAGGCGCGGTTGTAGTAAAACGCCCCCTGGTAGACCACGTGCCCGGTCCCGATCCAGTTGTACGGGAGCTTGTACAGGTTGCTCCAGCGACCTGCGGTGACAGAGAAAGTTCTTTACCGCACAAAGACCGGGCCCCTGCGCCAGGAACAGGCCCTTCCCTCCCCCACACCCCCAGGCCTCTCTCGTCCGCACCAGGGATGTCAAATAGCGGATAACTGAATAGTCGCGTGACCTCATGAATTCTTATCGGGTAGTCGACTAGTCTATAGTCCGCGGGGGCGGGGCTCCCAGCCGCTGTCAGAGGCAGCAGTGCAGGTGCCAGGTGGGAGCTGGTCCACAAGGGGAGCCAGTTTAAAACCAGCTCCCCTGGCGGACTGACTGCCTGTCACTCAGCGATGCTGCCTCTGATAAAGAGGCAGCAGCATGGGGTGGCAGCAGCCCCTATCTAAGGGGGGGAGAAGCCAAGGGGACCTGGTGTCACGTTACTGGATTTTAAGGGGAGAAGCCAAGACCACTGCTGCACCCATGGGGGGTGTCTGCCCCAAAAGTATATACAAAGAGGGTCATGTGAGGTGTCACACCAAAGCTCACCTTCTGCTGATTCTGTAGGTGCTATTCCTGTAATTGTACAATGTCTGTGTGTGGAGTTATAACATGGACTCTGGATGGAGGCTGGAAACTCCTCTGTCTGGTTGAGCACTGGGCGAGGGATGCTCAGCCAGTGGCTATGCTAATGAGCGAGCTCCAGGGACAATGGACACACCTGGCCACGGACCATGTGACCCTCTCCCGCTTGGGAGAGACCAGGGGATCTAAAATGCCAGGTGGCAGACTCCATTTATGGGGGGTCTTCAGTTTGGCTCCGGATCCCACGTGAAACTCCTCTGTCTGGTTGAGCACTGGGCGAGGGATGCTCAGCCAGTGGCTATGCTAATGAGCGAGCTCCAGGGACAATGGACACACCTGGCCACGGACCATGTGACCCTCTCCCGCTTGGGAGAGACCAGGGGATCTAAAATGCCAGGTGGCAGACTCCATTTATGGGGGGTCTTCAGTTTGGCTCCGGATCCCACGTGCGACCGTGTGTATGGTGCCTGCGGCTCCGGGTCTCCCGTGCAGATC